CTTGATATGACGCCGCGCCCAAGTAAAAAACAACAGTCTGTGAATGTAGCAAATTGTTAAGTGCTACACAATAGACATATTAATAAAGGCATTACGTTTAAAAGGCAAATCTTGTTTTCATCGCAAACATATTCCTCAAGCACTATGGTTCGCATTTAAAGCATTGTTAATGTTCCCATACAATCTCGTCAGGGGCTATCCGCCTGCTTGTGGGTGCCAAATAAAGTTATTGTTTTTGACTTCTTCTGACAATTTTCAAAAACAACAACATATGTTATGGGCAAAATAAGTCCTGTTCATGTGATTGTTTTTATTCATAAAAGAACAAAAAAACTTTTTCTTTAATGCGAGACTTTGTTGTATTTTTACAATTAATTTTGTTGACATTCATTAGATGCCTAAGTTTTGAAAGATGTTTTAGGTACATATTGCGAAGAATGGTTAATGCTGTTCTAGAACAGAATTAATACATGTCACAAGCAATTTTCTGACCTCGAAAATATTACACATATAAGATGTCAAAAAAGTCGGTCAAAGACAGAAAAGACCGGGTTGCATTTGTATATAAAATATGATGAGGCTGTGATGTTACGAAAATTTCCTACCATTGACCATTAATGTTGAAAAGTTGGTACACAGGATGTGCATGAGTCACGGACCTGAAATGGAATCCCACGGAATGAGATGACGTGTCAATGCTGTCGGTCAAATATCAAAAGGCTGTGATAAGAAGTTACTGAGGAAACTGTTACGAAAATTTATCTCCTACCATTGACCATTAATGTCGAAAATTTAACTTAGTCGGTAAACAGGAACTGGATAAGCGACATACCTGAAATCGGATCCCACGGTATGAGACCATGTGTTAATGCGGTTTGCCATATATCAGGAGGCTATAATAAGTAGTTACTGAGAAAACTGTTGAAAATTTCCTAACATTAACCAAAGATGTCGAAAATTTCACTAAGTCAGTATGAGCAACAGACCTGCAATCAAATCCAACAGTAGTGGACTATGTGTCAATGCTGTATGCTAAAATGTCAAGAGCCTGTAATCATTAGTTGCTGAGAAAACTGTTACGAAAATTCCCTACCGTTGACCATTATTGTTGAAATTTTAACTAAGTCAGAAAACAGGAAGTGGATAAGAAACAGACCTGACATCGAATCTCACAGTTTGGGACCATGTGTCAACGTTGTATGCTAAATATCAAGAGGCTATGACAATTAATTGCTGAGAAAACTGTTACGTAAATATTTCCCCGTCCGCGCGCCCGCCCGCCCGACATTCACCATTCACTCCAACTTGTCATTGAGGGATTTATGTGAATATTTTATTTACTGATCATTTAATATGTTACGGTACGAACAAGAAACGTATCAAGATTGCAAGACATTTATTATAATTGAAGATATGACAGTCCACTTAAACAGTTCAATTTGCATGATACCTTAAAATAGCTTCTTAATGAAATGAAATAATTAGCATGGTTTGCAATATTATTCAACATGACGGTACACGGGAATGGACAAAAGAATCTTGTTATAGATTATATCAAATAAATTGCAATTAGTCTATTTTTTTTAAGATTTGACTTTTGACACCTATTACAGATAGTCATCATAACCATTTAATTTCTCTCGAATTCAATTTTCATTAAAATTGTACAGATTTATTGTATAGTTCCATTTTCCAGTTTTTATGATTTTACCTCGACCTTAAAGTTGTTACAAGCATACTTAAATTTCAACAGTCTAACATGCACTTTGTTTATCCTTTTGAAAAAAGGGTTATCATATTTGTCCTTTTCTGTGGTACTTTAAACTTTCTATTTACGGAAATTCCACAAACATTTGAGACTAAAATGAACACAGATATAAGAATAAAAAAATAAGTCTGGTAGGAAATGTTAGTGAATGTTAAGTTTGTTGTTACATTATTTTAAAATATGATATATTTGTAAGAAATCTAGCTCCGCAATTTGCCAAAGTCTCAAGAAGATGTCAATTTTATATTTAGATGAAAGCTAAAACGACAATTACGGTAGACAACATTAAACCTTCAGAGAGTGATATTTCTTCCTTCTCCTTCTTGAGTCTTCTTGCAAAGACTAAAATAAAGAAAAAAGAAAAACAAGAACGTCAAAAAACAGCAAAATTTAAAATTTGAGATAAAATGGTCAAATTGTGAATTTAGAGACATCCGCAAACGGCGCTTGCCTTGAAACCTTCAATGTGTCACATGAGGGCGGCTATTCAATGAAAAGCGGTGGATGATCCATGTGGAATTACCAAACTAGAAAAAAGCCGAATAAAAATTTAAAGTACCATAAACACAACAATGATGTTGTGCTAAACGAAAAACAGAGTTAACCTATAATTATTTTTACGAAATTGTTTCCTTACCTAATGATATACATGTAAAACTCGGGTATTGTCAATATATACAATGTGTTTTTTAATTTACGGGAAATAGAGAACATACGAATTCCTAAAGAACGGCCAAATTGAAATATTGCAGGCTCGGTTTAATCAAGCCGGTACATGGACAGTACTGGAAAGCGCAAGCTACCGTTCGAGCCCCTTTGAATCGATAGTCAAATTTGACTTATTAAAAAAATGCTTCTAAATAAAGAAGAAATGAAAAAACGACAGATCGCTTTTATTAAACTTCTTGGCAGAAAGATTAAAACTTATTTGCGCTATCATCTAGTTATTTGTCTTGCTGTTAATTAAGGAAACTATTATTTTTTACAAATTTAAGTAAAAGTTGGACTTTATTTAAATGTAAATTAAGCTTTATAATATCATAATTTACATTACTTCATAATTAATAGTAACAGTTAATTATACAACTATCATATCGTACTAGTTCTTCCTGTAAGTTTCGTTATCTTATTTTGAAGGTATAAAATTGAATATATCTCCCAGACACATGTTTAAATCTATTGTATATCAGTTTTGTGAAGTGTTGAACTATATTTGGAATTTCTATTTGTGTTTTCAAATGTCTCCTGGTGCTTTGAACATCAAGGTAAATGTGGTCTGACATCTAAGCAGCATATAGGAACATTTTCTAAACTGTGAAGTTTAGACAAAATGTTAAGTACATACAAAAACATCTAAATATAGTCTAAAACGTTAAATTTACAAATTTCGTATATTTTATGCAAATAATAGAATCATGGACTTTATACAAATACTAATAAGTCTTTGTCACGTTCAATCTGTTTCAATATTTACATATATCATACGAAATAATAAGTTAAATGTTCCTAGGGACATTAAACATTCACCGACAGATCAGTGGAGGGCAAATTTATGGAATATCTTTGGACTTTGAAATGTGAAGCATAGGGATATATTGCTTTGTTACTTATGTTGAAAGTCCCATGTAAAATATAATTAGAGGGCAAATTTGTATAACGAAATTCAAACAATGCCCGATGAGTCAGTTACATTAGGCTTATTACAATAGTACGCATCCATTTCTTGCACTGTGTCGATCAAACCAATTAACTGCTATTACCAATTAATGAAGTCAATGTACACTTATTTTATAATTTAAAAATCGTTAAATCGTGTCGGTGATGAAAAATAAAAGATAAAAAAATATATATATTTGTGAAAGTGGTTGACAAGATTCTAAAGGCACAATAGTTTTGAAATATGTTCCTAGGTTGTGTCATTGATTTATTTATTGCAAGTGTTTCACAATATTCCTACGGTTTCATCCACTTAGCCACACTCTCTGAGTTATGAGTTGTTCTTAATGGTCGTTGGTAGCTAAGACGTTTCGAAACAAACTATTAGACACGTTTTTAACCTTTCTATGACAGTGTTTCCCTATGTGAACATAACTTATTTTCTCAAGAGCCGCGAGCGTAATTCAAAATCAAACTCTTCTACAAACAAGTAGTTCCATGATCTCGATATAATTCAACTAACACTACTTGCGTCCTTTTAATTGTGTCAAGTAAAGACATCAGTTACAACCATTAACAAAATAAATGCAAATTCCAAAATCAAGATGCTTGATTGAATTGCACAGTTCCGTTTCTAACAATATTATTATTCCATTTAACTTTGAGTTTGTAGATATATTTTTTCTACAATATTCCTCATAAATTAAATTGCATTTTCTTTGTCAAATTCTTCAATAAAACTTGGCTTAATACTCAATGGATGGTTTCTTTACTATTTTTAGTAAATTAAACTGTTTAGTTTTGTGAATGTACATGTGTAATGTAGTAACCATTTCATAAACATATCAATCGTTTGAGAAACACAGAAATACTGCTGCATTTTATTCGACTATTCTTCAAATTTGCATTCGAAATGCAGGCATGAACAAATATTATTATGTTTTACCTTTCGAGTCCGAATTACGTATGTAAAATAAATACTTTGAACACGAATCATACAGTTTCTTGACAGTTCACATGTCTATGCCAAAAACAGAAAATAGTAATTATTTACTATATCCCATATTTGTTAACTTTCTATAACAGAATGTGAATAAGTCTGTTCATATTGGCGTAAACAGATGATGTGTTATAGGACATTATAATTTGCAACATTGTTCTCAATCCGCTGCATATCAAAGATGGTACCTTCTACTGTGAACTATCTGTCAAATATTCAAGGTTAAAATGATTGTTATTGAGCAGAAAGTGCAAGGTACCATTCACTTGATGAGGGAGCTACACCTGACATTTCATTGAAACATTTTAAACAATATTCTCGTTTCAACTGTACTCGTAAGCCTTTATAATGATGTCGCATGGTAACTCTCACTGTACACGTATATAGAATATGCAATATAATTACTCTTACGGCAAACATAAATAATATGTGCAGTATGATAACTCTCACTGCACTCATATGTGATATATAAAGGTTGACAATTTTCAACCCATTTGTATACAATATATGATAACATTCTTTTATTTCATGATATTTATTGTAAAATTGATACGGTTATGCATAAAGAGACTAAAACAATGTTTATTTAATTTATTCAAGTTATCATTCATCGTACATATGAAATAACTTAATTCCAATCTGGCAAACATAGCGAGTTAATTGATGCTAAATATTTTCGCAGATTTTCCATTGTCGGCATAAAACACTATCTGATCTTTCTGTTGGTAGGCTGCACCACTGAACCCTGTTATCTGCCCTTTTACCTGCGAATGATAAAATATCTTTAAGATTATTTCAAAAACACACATTTGAATACATTTTCATATGATTTTAATATGTCAGCTTAAGTTTAAACATTGACGTTCATATCTTATAGGATTATTCTTTGAAAAACTTTCAGATTATCTCTTTCTTTTTGTACTCAAATGGCTTTGCATAGTTGATTTAATATGTAACATACACTACTCAAGTTGATACAACAAGAATAAATATCAAACATCCATACTAACTATATTTGCATAATGTAAATTTACATGACTTAAAAAAAGAAAATTGTCATGATGCAACGAAATGTTTCTAAAAGTGAGATGTATCACATAAGTCAAAAGAGCATGAAAAATAAACCTCATATCCGTCAGGCAATCCTTGCATCCACATGATGTGTCCCGTTGGAGAAGACGTATCTATGGCAACAACGTAGAATGTTTCATTTATATTCATATTTGGAAATGATGCAACAACCTTTCGAAAAGAGTCTGTTTGTTTTGTTATTTTTGCCCCGAATATCAATATATCGTCTGCGGTGTCGTTTTGTCTCACGAGAGCTAATTTTGACGTTATAACAACGTCAGTGCCAAAAATAGAGTTAACATTTATAGTCCTCGAGACATTGCCGTCTGATTTGATCGTGCATAGCCTAGAATCGGCCGTACTGATCCATAAATAAGAGCCACTTTGTTTACCACCGTCATGATGACGAACATCGTCTGAGTCAGCTTCAAATGTTGCTAAGTGAGAGACGTCAAGAGGTGAACGAATTGTCAATGATGTATCATTTCCCTCGTCCCTGAATCCCCAGAAAGTTGATTGTCTATTGCTCATGTATGGTGGCGGCAAAGAAACGTAGACACCTTGAGTTGCATAGTCCCACAAAAGATTTTGCTGTTTTTGGATACTGTTTCTAATATGCATAATCTTTTCATTTCTGGAAACTTGATTGATTTCATCATTGGTTGGACTTTCCATTTCAAAGTTGTAAGACCAAGCGATTGTCATTATGTCTGCAGGTCTATCATGAATGTCAATGGCATATAAACGTTGGAGGTTCAAAACTGACGGATCAAAATTTTCGGACTCTGGAACAAACTCTGTCAGCAAGTAGAATCGTTGACCGTTCACGACTGGCTGTGAGATTGGAAGAAATGTGCCGTTTGTTCGTTGTACCGTATCGTTAAGGAATATCTCTGCAACTGGAATAGCGTTCGTGTCCCTGACAACAAGTCCTCCTTGCTCGCCAACTAGTAGCAGGTACATAGTCCCAACAAGCTGCATGCTGAACATAGGATTTAAACCATAACATTTAATAATAGGATACAGTTTTCCATCCCTATCATAATGTACCAGTTTTTCTCCATCAGATCCTGTGACGTCACCGTAGTTGTCAAGCAATGGTAACGTAGGGAAATGCAGCACGCGATCACGCCATCGAATGGTTCCATTTTCGATATACAAACTTATGTATCCTTTGTCCTCCGAGAACGGGCCGTTAGACGGGCATACAATATTAACACTGTCAGCAACGCATCCGAGAGCGTTTGGAACAGGGTCAAGAACAAACGAGCTGCTCCATTTAAAGGACACGTTTTCTCTAGGAACTTGAAGGTAAAACGAAAATGATCCGCTTGGTCTGCATCCAAATAATGGACAACCGTCAATCACTAAGCATTCTAAGTTTTGGATAATTCCAAGCAACACAATAAAACTAGTATACAATTTAGTTTGCATATTCATATTTTAATACATATAAATAGCTGCTATTATATGAAAATCATATACATAAATGAGAGACAAATTACTGCTTAAAAGGAGCCAAGGTTAAAGATAAATATAAATCTGTATCAATTTAATCAAACAACAATTGAGATAGATATTGTGTCAGTCTGGATACATAGTTATCATTATATGATGACCGTTATGTATGTTTGTATATCAAATCTAGGTTTAAATAGAGGCATCGTTTTTATCATTGGCCAAATCTGAAGGTAAGGGCGTTTCCTACAGTTTATTTATAATTGAAATAATGAAAACTGTTAAAAAATATATTTTTTGCACGATCTTAGAATACGAAAAATGAAAAATTGTAGGAGAAAAATAATTCGGAGTAACCGATTTAGTATTTGAGTTCTCTACCCTTAAATTTGATTAGTTATGCATAGTTCATATCATTTCATGCATAAGGAACTTATATGATTAGCTAGCTGTGTGGGTTTAAACCCCATAAAGGACAATACGTTTTTTTCCCTTCAGTAATTACTCAATACTAGTTTAGTTCCAGAAATGGATTTAGGAGTGTGTTTATAAGTTAATATCTTCCTACACAATCGAACGAAAATAAGTTTTGACATAGTTTTAGGTAAACAAAAACATACTGCTATCCTATTATCGTAATTTTGCACAATGATTCAAAAACAATACAATGGCATATATCACAAAAAGAAATGAATTTGACGATCCTTCTTATTTTCATTTATTTGAAATATTTCTATTTGCATATTCTAGGACCATGCGAAATATAAGTTAATTTAATCGAACAGTATTCATTATTCCATTATTCTTAAAACAAGTATATGTGCAAACTAGCAAACGTCTTTAACATTTAACCAGGTGAATTAGTTTAATGCATTTATAAAGCTTTGAATTCGAAAGTCTACTTAAAGTTTACAGGATTTCAATATCAAAATAGAAAACTGTGTTGACAACAGTGTAGGACGTGTTCAGATTGCATGAATGTTCAAGCTGACCTAGCTAGGCATACCGGTGAAAGGCTAAAATCTTTCATGTCCAGCATAACATTCACACATTTTTTTCTTTATCATTATTTGAACTACTCTTAAAAATGCCAAATACAAAATGGATGGGATGTTGATGGTCAAGTTTATTAGATGCACGTGAAGGTGGTTTTCAAACGAACGGAAAGTTTGTGTTTCTGTCCTGGGTCTTCTTGGAGAAATATCCGAGGATAACCTTAGTAGAATAACAAACTGTTAACATTTTTATTGATCTATATTTTATCATATTGAGATTTCTTACATGAATATTTTCTTCTTATGCATAATTCAATTTACAATGTAGACAGTATGATTAGCAGAAATAAATCCTGTAATTTTTAAAGTAAATGAAAAAGTGTCTTCGTCATTGTTAATGCTTTTAGCGAGACATAATCCAGTAAAATGGCTTTGGAAAAATTTTATGTGACAGAAAAAATGGTGATGAAAATCCGGTAGACGTCACTACTTTATTTATAGGCTTAATTTCCGGTCTTTTTCTGAACAACATTAGTTCTAGGAATTAAATGTAAATATTCCATTATACAACATAATTATAAATAAATGAGTAGAGATTAACTATAAACAGATATAAGCAGGAATTATACTGCAATATTTTTTAGAATAGTTGACATTATAAAACCTTTTTTGGATGGTTTGGTCTAATAAATAAGATAAAATAAAATAAATAAAAAGTTATGAAAATTAAGTTTACATACATTTGCAAGATTATGCTGGTATTTTATAGGCTTCTGTATTGTATTGCTATGAAAACTTGTGCAATTAAAAATTATAATTGCAGTAAAAACCCTCAGTAAAGACCACCATCGGGACTGGACCAAAGTGATCTTAATTGCGGGGTGATCATTAACTTGCTGGAAAAGTTTGTCATAAGAAATAAATCAAGTGTACGTTGAATTTAAGTGGCAAAACTCGCTTTGCCATGTTTCATTCTATCTAAGAAGTTGTAAAATATTCGTGAAACGCGCCATGTTTGTACCAGATAAATGCTAAATGAAACCCGATATCCACCATTGCAATAAAAAAGAACAATCATATATGAATCTAGAAATAATCTTGATGTTCGATTAACATTTCAATTTACTTTAAAAGATAGGATATCAATTACGATAGTTTAATAATAGTGAATAATAAAACATTTACATTGGGCATAAAACATCTGTTATTACCAAAATGTAAACACATACATTTAAGATATGCATCAACATATAGATCTATACATATTTACATCAATTACAACATGTCTTTTTATTTATTTATAATCAAAAACTAAATGAATAAAATAGATAAACAGACAACAAATTTCATAAATTTATCAATGAAAAACAGAAAGAAAGAAATGACAAGCTTAGTACGTAGATATAATGAAATAGGCCTAAATAAAATTTATTTTACCATATATCTTTATAACGTGTTTTAATATAATACTTAGTCAACAGGTACTTTGCCTAGGTCAAAGTTCAAACATCATATTGAAAGTAAAAGCGGCCAGTACGGCCCAGTAGTGTATATCTTTTGTACAACGTCCAGTCAACTTAAATTTATCTATAATTGATAAACAAAGTTCATACAGATTAACATAAAGATTTATGATCTACCATGTATAAAATTATGTAATTATGATCGTTATTCAAAGATAACCCGTTGTGTAAACAATGTTTATATAAAGATATTAACTAGAGCATGTGTGTTGTTCTATTTATAGATTATACACATTTCTCCATGTACATTTATATAGTGTTTACTTCACTTCAGTGTTATTAAAATGGCAAGACTAAGTTTAATTTTATGTTTATTTGGATCGTTTATAAAAGGCGGAATTTCGTTATTTATTGATGGTTGTCCTATGTATGGATGTCGACCAAGTGGCTCATTTTCTTTCTACTTTCAAGTTCCACAAGGAAATGCTTCGATACAATGGATGAGTGATTTTGTGTTTGATCCGGTGCCAATTCCATTAGGTTGTGTATCTGACAGCGTTAATATCGTGTGTCTATCTAATGGACCTTTCTCGGAAGATAAAGGCTACATTAGTTTGTTCAATGAAAACGGAACAATAAAATGGAGAGATCGAAAATTAAACTTTCCTACTTTACCTTTGCTTGACAATTACGGTGACGTAACGGGATCGGACGGGAAAAAGTTAGTGCATTACGACGCTAATGGCAAGAGTTATCCTACTATACCATGTGAAGGTCTTCTGCCCATATTTAACATGGTCCTTG